CAGATTCATGAGATTTTCCTGATAGCTGTTAGTATTACTCATAGTGTAAGAGTAAAGTTTCTGGTTCATTCAAAATTCTCCCTTACCCTAGTTCATCCTTCCCATTATTTTTAGGACAGAGTTATATATTTAATCTGAGGAAAAATTACAAGTAATACACTATACTGTTAACTTACTTGTGGCCCTTGAGCAGTGTGCTGTATTTTTAGTCTTAACCTGTCATTAGAAACTTGAGTTTCCTGCATTTTGACTGCCTACAGTAGGTTTAGCCTTTTAGGCTTAAGATAACAGACAGCACTTCATATTTCTAATAGATGAAGTTGAATTACAACTGAAGGTAGTTCTTAGATTTGTGTATCAGTTTTGGTAAAGATTTTGACCTGTTCCTTCTGAGCCATGGTTTTGTCAGCCTTGGTTTCACTTTGAATGTTTCACATATGCAGGGAAGCATATTCCAAATGTTTATATTCCTATAAAGTGTCCTCACTAACTCAAGCATATGAGTAGGATGACCATCAGATCAAGGTAACTGCGCCTTTTCCAGCTGGGAAACAGGGAGAGTGGTTGAGTATTAAAAAGTTTAAGGCCATGCCAAGCCCACAGTAATAAGCAAAAAATATTTACTTAAGTTTGCATCTGCTAGAAAAAATTATCAGTAACACTCATCTAAGACTGGTTCAGTAACTTTTTAGTTACTCATTAGTGTTGAGTAGGAACAACTGCTATCTAAAATTATTCATCAGTGTAGATGTAACATTTAATAATCCGTGATTGTATATGATAATAATTGATAATATATCAGAACACTTTACCAGAATGCATTCCTGTTTGAATGATTTTAGATTTCTATTGTGTTGTGTTTAAGTACATATATATCAGTTTGATAAGATAACAAATTTACGTTCATGGGTACCTTTTTCCAGCGTTGCTAATGTTATACAGCAGGCCGGATGTCCAGTACCAGAATACATAAAAGGTTTTCAAAAACTACTAAGGTACAATCTTGAATTCACCTAAGTTTTTCTCTTTGCTCAGACGTTTTTGCTTTCACATTCTTACATATTATAGTTCAAATATAAATGACTTGCCTTTAGAACATCTTAAGATGGCTATTTTCCTTTTCAATATTTACGTATATTCTTTCCTTGTCACTTTCTTCATCCTTGAAATTGCAGTATTCAGATTTTTAAGTGTTTGTTGTTAGTGAAGTGCTTAGAATTTATTTTAGTTTATAAAACTGATAAAATAAACAACAAAACCAAAAAAGAATTAATTAGCTAATGCTTGTTGGCACAGGATAAATGTTGACATAGGAAATAATTTAATAATAGCTCTTTTTGAAAAACAGATTCAATTTATCATCTGTTTGGGTTACCTCTCTAAATGCTATCAGGTAATCTGTTACACTAAAGTAGGTACAGTGTCACTTGAAACCAAAAAGTGGATTAAAAATGAATTTTGTGATCAAGGATCAGACTAGGTAATTCTTTTAAGCTGAGTGACAGTTCTTTCTCTTATTTTATCATTTTTAGCAAACAAAAGAAAAAGATGATTAAGAAGCCACTGGAAAGGGAGAGTATTAGTACAACACCAAAATATTTCTTAGAAACAGCTAAGGATAAAAAGTAAGTATATGGTGAGAAAAGCCACTGCTTGACTCTGTCATATTGTTATAGTAGGCATTGTTTTTCCTTAATAGAAAATTTTCTAAGTAGAATTGATAGGTCTATAGTCCAATATAGAATATAATAAAAGTAATACATCTTACGTTGCCTATGAATTGGGAACTTGATGATTTGATCATGGAATTTTTCTGTATCTATATATTAATGATCTGGTTTTCCCATCTGTGAAAATCAAGTCCATTTCACCATGAATTAGAATTGCACTACCCCTTCGCAATGCATGACAACGTAGACTGCAAACATCTCAATGTTTAATGTTTTTCCTTTCCCTATATTAACATTTAGTTGAATGCATTCATCATTTATTTACCAGACTCTCAAGAGTTCATGTCTAACTTCTGTTACTAATACATAGTGAAGTCATAACCACTCTGCCTCATTTTCCTCATCTGTAAAATGAGGATAATAGAATATGCTTTATAAATTAGGAATATCCAAGTTGACCCTTTATATAAAGCACTTATGACAGTATCTAGCACTTAATCAACATGAAGTTATTATTATATCTAGATCAGAAACTGTCCTTTATATCATGTTATGTTGTTTGTTGTGATGTTTTTCATTACTTAGGTGATAATAGTTTTCTAAAGGACAGTGGCCATGTCTAATGCAAGTTTGTTTCTAGTGGTACATGTATGTGATTATATAGTAAGTCAAGTAATGTTTACTAAACCGGTAGTTTTGGAAAGTATGTATATGTATTTATTTTTATTGATGCATAGAAGAACTAGAGTGTATGCCAGAGGTACAGGGGGCTGAGAGGACTCACCAGAGACATAGTGGGGAGCAGAAATCTACTGAAATACACTGCTGAGGAGAGTAGTGAACAAGACGAGAGGTCTGCTGCACCATGTGGGTCAGCTCCCTAGTTGGGGATCAAACTCGGGCTGCAGCAGTGATAGTGTGATAGCACTGAGACTTAATCCCTATGCCATCAGGGAGGCCCAGTATGTAGAATTTCTGTTCAACTTCCCTTATTTTCCTTGTTACAGAAAAAATGTCACTAATCAGAACAGCAAGAAGAAAGTAACTCCTGAAGACAAAATTAAAACATTTAAAAAGGCTGTTTAAGAAATACAATTTTATGATTCTTTTATGAATATTATTTTCATGGAAAACTTCAAGTATTATAATCACCTATACCAAGAATTGGAAGTCAACTACACTGGACTATTGAGAAGTGATCCTAAGCCATCAATGCATCATTTCAGATATTAAATTGTAGGTGATTTTTACATGTAGATACCATGGAAATAACACTCATTGACATTTCTGTTGTTTGAACCCAGAGAGGTACTTCTTACAGAAGATAAAACTTATGCTAAAAATAATACTCAGAAGTGGTTAACTCTTAAGGATATTCCTTTAAGTGTGAAGGAAGATGTGATGCAGCTATGCATCAACCAAATTCAAAATAAAGACTTGAAATTAAATTTCCCTTCCTGCCCCCAATTTTTTGGAGGAAAGATGGACAAGGAGCAACTGCATAGGTTCTCTGTCAAGAAAAGACCTACTGTTCTTTTATTCTAATGGTTCTTAGTTTGTTCATAGCCTTTTGTGGAATAAGCGACGACAAAGAGATTAGTCTTGTGTGACTGGTTTAAGTCTCTTAAGATTTTTTTTTCAAAGATTTATTTATTATTTATGCATGCAGAACTGGGGTACTGGCCAGAGGTGTGGTGGGTGAGAGGATTCACCAGAGACACAGTGGGAGGCAAAACAGGCAGATCAAAGTACACTGCTCAGGTCAGGAGATGTCTGCTGCGCCATGTGGGTCAGCTCCCAGGCAGGGGATTGAACTTGTGCTGCAGAAGCTTCTGAGAGCATAATGCAGTGCTTTAACCCTTACGCCATCAGGGAGAGCCCAGTTTCTTAAGATTTTTAATTCTTTAGACTATTAAATATCCATCATTGGTAAGCTCATACCTTAAGTATTATATTGTGTCTTACAAGATTACGGTCAGTCTTTCCCTTTCTTTTTCCATCATTTAGTCATGCTCTTCCCTGTCTTTTTTCCATTGAAGAAGACTACTTGACAAATAATACACATTTTATCATGATAAGGAAGACTGCTCCTGTTTCTTGATACACCTCTGGTTTCACTCTTTTACAGCTTATCTTTCCTGAGGCTATAAAGGCCCTTCATCCATTTAGTTAGAAGGTCACAGTCAAGGGTAAAGGACTATACACTGATCGAAACAATTTGTTGTTAAATTTTTCTCACTTGTTAAAATTGGCTTCATACATGTAAAGTGCTTAGAATGGCACTGACGTGAATTGGAGTTTTCAGTAGCAATACAATACTATAGTAGTGTATTCTCAGCAGCATTTCAATTAAACGTATTTATTTCCTTTAATTTCAGCCTTTTACAGGACACGTAGTCTTCAACTTAAGTATTTTAGATGGGACAAACTTCAGAATTTATGTAAATGCAACAGGGTACAAAAAGTACTTAACACATGACATTTTTGCTTTTGTAGTCAAGGTAAGGATTGCAAACTGCGTTGCTGTAAAAGCCCTGAGGCAGGAATGAGAAAATCCACTACTAGCTAATGAGCAAAGTTGAGGGCTTGAAAAAGTTTACGTTCTACTTGCGTATTTCACTGACAGTAACTGAATTAGGGAACAAAGCACAGTAAGATACGGCCACTATAGATGCAGAGCCGTGAACTGCTTTCCAGACACCCGTGTTTTGCCGCTGCTGGCAGGTGTATTACGGATAACTGGGGTGGCCACGACTGAACCAAACGGGAGTAGTGACTTAGGGTTTTTATAAATGGATTGGGTTTACGTGCGTGGGTTGGCAGACTAAATGAAAATGTAAATATCGTCACCTTCCGGGGTGGGTACCAAAAGGAAGCGGCGGAGTAATGGGTGTGAGGGGGAGTGGTAAGGAGTGGAGACGTGATCAGTAATCGGTGCCGTGAAGTTAACGAAGCTTCCGGGGTCCACCCTAGCCTTTGTGTTGAAAAGTAACAAAAGCAGCCGTCTCCCCTCCAGTTTTACCATCAATCGTTTTTCAAACGAAGGCGAGACAGTGTCTCGCCACTCACCACCAGCTGGGTGTTCCACCCGGCCTGGCCACGATCTGAATCAGTTTCCCTGGATGCCGGCCCAGGCCGCAGAACAATTGCACCTGGAGGACTCCCGGGCGGCGGCCGGGTCACGTGACCGGGCCGCTCCGCCCCCGCCCCCGAGCGCGGGAGTCACGTGAGAGAACCCGGGCGCTCCGTCTGGGTCCGCGGCGAGGTGGGGCCTGGCGTTTGCCCCGGAAGTGGCTGTCTTCAACTGACAGCTGCTGGTAAAGGGGCGGCTGCAGGCTGGGAGCAAGATGGCGCTGCGACCGGGAGCGGGAGCCACCGGCGGCGGGGCCGCGGGAGCAGGCACGGGGGCCGCCGGGGGGAGCAGGTGGGTGTGCGGAGCGGGGACCGGGCCTGGTGGGTCCGACGGTCCCGCCGACGCTCGACTGGCTTCGGCAGCGGCTGGGGGCTTGGCGGTTATGGCGGTTTTCTCCCGCTGCAACTCCTTTCTCTTTAGAACTGGGTTATGGATGATGGGTCATCCCCGGGGACTGAGCCGGAGGGGGCGGGTGGAGCCGGGGCGCCAGAGTCCTGCGGTCCCGGCGGCTGGAGCCAAGTGGGTAGCGACCGCGCACCTCTGAGCTCGGAGAAGGTGAGGGTCAGCTCGGCGGGTGGGAGGAACCCCCGACGCCTCGTTTCTAGTCTTGGGCGGGCTCTGAAGCGACCAGAGACTTCCCCTTCCCAAGGCTTTTCGGGCTTGACCAAGAATGTTATATGGAAAGAAAGCTCTGAAAGAGCCGGTCGCAGAACTAGACAAATGATCCAGGAGAGATGTACCTGTGTGTATTGTCTGCCTTTTCCTCTTTTGGAGTCCCCAGACTTTTATTTCTTAAATACTTGAGAAACCGCAAGAAAATCTGAAGCCTTTTGAATTGGTAAATAGGAACTCTTGTAACTCTGAAGACTTGCCTCTTTATTGAAAATCGAAAATTCGTAGTTACGCAGTTATTACAACCACGCTTCCAGACTCGGTAACTTAGCCCTCTGACAAATTTCAGCTAACAGTTGCCTGTGGTTCTCCTGTCTGAAACGGTAGGGGAGATACATATTTGCAGCTTGTCAAGCTCATTATTTAAGGAACTGTTTTGTTCCATTACGACTTCTACCCACTTCTGTGATGACCTAGTGTGATTTTTGTGGTCAACACGTACTGCGTACACATTTGAAGATAAAATTAGCTTTTTATAAAAACTTAAGCACCCTAAATTATTTTTAGAAAGCCAGGTGTTAGGTTTTTTTATATGCAATGTTTTAATCTTGCAGTTATGACCACTACAGAAATATAAAGCCTTTAAAGTTATCACCTGCAGCTGCCTTATATACTGGGCAAAAAGCATCGGCTGTTAATAACCACCTGTGTGCAGCCCCACTTTTCATTTCCTCTACGAATCTTTGCCTTTAGATATAAAACTTTCCGTATTTGTGTTCTAATTACTGCTATTTTATACTTTTCCATGAACATTTGTAAGACAATTTCTGGCTGAAGAAGAAAATATATATGATCTCACCTATTTTCTGTGTGTGATGATGGTTTCAAAAATGTTCTTGAATGATATTAATTTGACCAGCATATGATTACTCAAGGTACTAAGTCCTGAGAAAATAAAATCTTAAAAAGAATTTGGTATTCTAGGCTCAGTTTGGCTTTTTTTTTTCTTTTATGAAGGAGAGCGTCAAGGGAGGACCACAGCTGCAGAAAATTTTCCTTAGTGTATTTTAATATCATTGCACCATTACTTATTTTTTATAAGTATGGCCTGAATTGTGAAACTTATTTTTTATAAGTATGGCCTGAATTGTGATTGATTTTGAAATTTATTTCATCTGTAAATATAGTAAACTCCACATTACAATTTTTAGAGGGTAGATGGGAAGAAAATGGTTAAAGTGACTCTTACCTGGAAAATTTATGGTAAATATGTTACATATATTGGGAACTTTCTGAAGCTGAGAAACTATGCTCAGTAAAGAACATTACGGTTTTTAGAAAACTATGATGAATGAGGGCTGAGGTTATTTTATAAGGAAACAAACATGGTAGGCTAAGTAAGTATATTTTAAGGAAAAAGAACCAGGCATCCGCACACAGCTTTTAATGGAGAACATCCTTGGAACTATTAACTTACCATGTGTCTTAGATACTTGTTTCTTTTGTAAGGGACTAAGCAAAAGACTGGGATTTTCTGGCTTCATTAATATGTTAGCCTACTTTGATGGGTGTCTTGAGTGGGCTATTTTTGAATCAGTGGTAGGGTTGTATATAGGGTAAAATTTACTCAAGAGATGCGAAGTATAACTTTATTCTTAAGATCAAGTATAGCAGAAAAAAATATGAAAGATTTTGATCAGTCTGTATTCTGGGATATTATTTGTGTGCTTTTTTATAAATTTCTAAGGGTTTTTCATCAACTCTGCTTCTAACACATAGTAACAGAAAACATTATGCAAATATTTGTGGTTTCAGATACATTGAAGGCAAAGAGGTATTTCAGCTGGGTCTCATTTTAAAAAGAGAAAGGGGTCAAGAGATTGTCTTAGAGTTTGGAATGCTTAGTGAACACTAGGGAATAGCAGGAAGTCTGGGAAGACTGTGGCCCTAAGTGAGGGAGAAGAATTTTGTGGCCCTAAGTGAGGGAGAAGAATTTTGTGAGAAAAAGGAATGTGTGCTAAACCTGGACAAATCCTTGAGTTTAATGGAGGGAAATTCAGCTTTAGAAATTAGTGCAGTTTTCACCCCAGGAGTGGACTCAGCAAATCGTCCCTTAGGCAGATGCACCTCACCTGTGTACACAACAGGCTTTAATAGTCATGGAGTCTGCAGGTGGAGAGGTCCATTAAGTCTTGTAGGCTTCCAGGCCTGAGAAATGAAAACTAATCTAGGTTAGTAGCAAAGGTAAACTGAAAGGGAAGGATGAACTAAACCTGTGATAAGCAGAGCTCACAGTTCTGCATGCTTTCTGCTTTCATACTCGCGCACCTGTGATAAATACTGGTTTTACCTTTGAAATTAAATTGTCGATCACCTTTGCTGCTGCAGTTTTTTTTGTGTTTTTTTTTTTTTTTTGCTAAAATGTTGCTGCCTTCAACATAGCTTGAATTCACAAATATTTGCAGACTTTTTGTGTGTGTGCTACTGTGTGTAAAAAGCAGAGGAAGATAAAAGCCTTAAAGGAATTTATAAAAGCAGAGAAAAAAAACACAGTACACAAATGATATCTCAGTAGGATATAGACTGAGCAAAATCATCATCTTTTTGTTGTTGGGACTTTTAGCTGCTTGTCTAGCCAGTCTTTAAGTGTGTTGTTAGTTACCTAGACACTGCAAAGAATCTGATGAATGGTATACATAGGTCACTCAGTATTTGCTAAATTTTAGTGGAGTAAGTCATGTTTGTCACTTTAGTTTTTGATAACCTTTATACATCTGCCCTTGTCTGTTTTGTTGTCTAAAATGGGGCCTCAGTTTGGTTCTATGTTGTCATTTGAAATAGGAAAAACTACACAGGTTGGTGAGTGACATAGAACTTTACAGTAATGTTGCAATAACTGGGCTGCAAAAAGAATGTAACTCAGATTTCCAGGTTTTACTTAGCCACTATGTCATATAGTAAGTAATTGTAATCTTTAAGACTGAACCGTCTCTACAGGTTGATTACTTAAAGGCCTTGTCCGGAGTTTATAGATCTTAGCATGTGAGCAACCTTTTAACGAAAGGAATACTACAGAATTTCAGTTTACAATTTAAGTATTTTTTTGCAACTCACATATGACTTAGCTAGTACATTTAGTTTCCATTTCACAGAAGCTGGTTAGCCCTCTCTGGATTCAGGCCTGTTTGTCAGCGTAGCATTTGCTGGTGGTTCTGATCCTCTACAAGGCTATAAATAACATAACCAGGGAGATGTCCAACTAGAACTTCATAAATCACCGGACAAAACTTGGAAAAATGAAAATATGCTAGCGCTAAAAGACTATAATAAAGTTTAACCCCCTTGAAATACTGACTCACAGACTAAGACTTTCCCACTCTTTTTCTTCCTTGTTTTGACCTTTTTCTTTCTTTCCAGTCTCAGAGGAAGAAGACCTTCCTTTTCTTTTTTTCTAACGCCTTTTTAAAAAAGATTTATTTATGTATACAGAACTGGGGTTCAGGCCAGAGGTACAGGGGTGGTGAGAGACAGAGTAGAACAGGCTGATTGATGGCGGGCGGGTCAGGAGAGGTCTGCTGTACGATGTGGGTCAGCTCCGGGGCTGGGTATGGAACTCACACTGAAGCTGTTGCAGCCAGCTTGCAGTGCTGCATCCTAACCCACAGCGCCACCAGGGAGGGCCCAAATCCTCTTCCTTTTCAAACCTTTTGCTACTTGGCTTTGTTAAATCAATTCTTCAAAAATCATGTTTTATCAATCACTGAATATATCCTTTACATCTTAAATACCTCTCTATAGGCCCTTTACTCTTTCTCTCTTGAAACTGTTCAAAGATCACCATTTTAAAAAACAATGATCCCAATTAATCCTCATTTGTGATCAGTTTTTCTATAGCATTAGATACTGGTAACTGCTTTCTTCCTGAAATGTGGTCGCAGTCAGTTATACCCAACTCTTGGTTATGTGATCATTCCCTACTTGGTTTTTACTGTAAGACTTCTTCAAGGCTGTCCTCTGTTGTCTTCTCACTATGCACCTTAACAGAATTACCTACTTAGTTTTTTTAACCTTTATTTAGAACAACCTTGCTAGGTAAATCTGTGTTGTTCACCTGAGCCTAAGTTATCTGGTTGCCTGCTAGTTTGCTTCTCCTGGACACACTCCTACAACCTACCCCACACCTACTCATACTGGCTTCCTTTCCAATAAACAACATCTCCATTCTCGCAGTCAAACATGCTTTTTTAGGGCTAGTCCTCCCACCTAGCAGTTGCAGGGCCCTGTTGGAGTATCCTTTTCAGTATATTTCATTTATTAACCCCTTCTTTTCCAGTCCCGTTACTCTGCTTATGGCCCTTTTCATCTCAAGATTATTGTGAGTTGCTTCGTTCTTTTTGTTTCACATTTTCTCTACCATCTCTATAACCATAGAAACCAAAAGCCCATTTCTGATCATTCCACTTTTCTCTACCTTAGGGAAAAGCAAATGCAAATTACAATAAGATACCACTTCATATCCATTGGGATAATTATCATTAAAAAATAATAATAATAAAAAGTGTTGGGAAGGATATGGAAAATTGGAACTCTTGTGTGTTGCTGGTGGGGTGGGAATGTAAAATGGTATAATGGCTGTGAAAAACAGTTGGTGTAAGTGTAGGATTACCAAAAAGTAAGTGTAGGATTACTATATGACCCAGCAATTCCACTCAGATACTTTTCTACCTGTGTTAATAGCAGCATTGGTTATAATAGCCAAGCATTAGAAGTAAGCTAGATCCATCAGTTGGATGAATAGATAAACAGAAGGTAGTATGTAAATATAGTAGCGTGTTATTCAGCCATAAAGTTATAAAATTCTGATTCATGTTACATGTGAACTTTGAAAACATGCTGAGAGAAATAAATCAGATACAAAAGGTTAAGTATTATGATTTCACTTAATATGAATCGAGAGATTCATAGAGATAAAAAGTAGAATAGCGGTTATTAGGGATTTTTGGAGGTTGGGGAGAGGTAAATGGCTAGTTACTGTTAAATGAATAGAGTTTCTATTGGGGATGATGGGAAAAGTTCTGGAAATGGGTAATTGCGATGGTTGAACAGCATTGTGAATATACTTAATGCCACTGACCTTTATACTTTAAAATGGTAAAACTTTGTTACTACCATTAATAAAAACCCTCTCACAACTTCATGTAATATTCTAAATAAAATTAGCCATTTTAAAGGCCCTCTATGATCTCCTTACTTTTCTAATCATACATCTTACATTAAAACTTAAGCCCCCGCAGGGATTACAATTGAGATGAAAAAAAAAAAAACCTACAAAATGATGTAAAAATAAACTGTTATGGGCCCTCCCTGGTGGCGCAGCAGGTTAAAGCACAGCACTAAGAAGCTTAAGTCACCTCAGCATGATTTCGATCCCCGCCTGCCCTGGAGGAGATCCACATGGCGTGGCAGACCTCTCCTGACCCGCCCGCTGCTCCCTTCAGCAGTGTACTTCCTCGATCTGCCTGTTCTGCTCCCCACTCTGTCTCTGGTGAATCCTCTCACCCTCCACATCTCTGGCCTGTACCCCAGTTCTATAAATAGATCTTAAAAAAATAAATAAACTTATTAAAATATAAAAAAGTAAATAATAAATAAATCTCAAAAAAAAAAAACTTAAGCCATTTCTCCAAAAACACATCTCTGCCCTCAGAGCGTTAGCTCTAGCTAGAGTCTGTGTGCCTATCTCAAAGATTCAATTCAAAAGACAAATTCAGTGAAGCTTACTGAAATAAAACCCAGCAAGTTAATGTTTCTCTTCTCCTCTCTGCTAGTGTTTTGGATTCTCATAGCACACCGTATCCTGGGTTAAGGTTATTACATCAGTGTCTTCAAAAAGATTATAAACTAATTCAGACCTTTCATGTAGTAGGCATTTAATGAATGTTCATGGAATTGCATCTACTCTCACCTTCATTTGTGGATGAGAAAACTGGAATCCAAAGAAGCCATTCCAGGACCAGTTTCAAGGTCTTCTGTCTAGTTCAGAACTCCCGACACTGTATGTTGACTGTCATGCCATCTGCAGACTTTCAGTCTACGCTGGTGTTGGATAATTCAGGGCCACACTGCAAAACCAGCTGTACTTATTTATTCACCAGAAATGTGCATCTTTTATTTGAAATCTTTGTACCTAAGAAGATGCTAATACATATTTTTGTTTTCAGCTTCATGTTTCCTGTTGCAGGTGGAATCAGACCCCCTCAAGGTATGTGAAAGCTTAAGTTTTGCACTCTTATTTTTCATTGTTATGTGTCTGAACTTAGAGATTAAGTGGATAAATTAGAACTTCTGTGACTGCCAAATAGAGTAAAATTTTCCTCTAGTCTTGAGCCAATATGAGTTATTCTCAAACTTTCTCAGAAATCGTATAATTTGGGGAACAATGGGATCACTGTTCAGTTCTCCCATACATATTTACACATCTTGTTTAAATATCTGTAGATTACTTAACCTCAGCCATAAAGAAGGCTTTCAGGAGTATTAAAGAACAAGTGACAAAAATGAAATGAACTGTAGTTCTCTGAATGACATCTTTCTCCTATATAGACTCTTTCTCCTCTTGCTAGATTGGTAACTATGTAAGTCAGGGACCATGTCTTTCTGCCTTCCATTCCAGTACTCCCAGCACTGGGCACGCTGCTAGGACATACTAGGTTCTCTGTCGATGTTTGCTGAGCTAGTAACTCGGTCTCTTCAGGTATTTTGTGCTTCTGTTTTCTCTCTATGAATTTGGCCTTACTCTAATCATGGACACAATACAGATCACATAGTTCTGTTTCAGTTTAAAATTTTTAAGTTTCAGTTTGATTCCTGCAAATTCCTCCACTAGGTATACCCCTCCTCTCTTGGTTTCACATAAGAGCCCACCACTATCACTTCTAACTGTGTCTTCAAGGAAATAGTAATGAAGGGAAATAATCTGGGCCCTGTGCCACTGGCCACAACACGTTGCGGCAGGCTGTGTCCACCCTTCTCCTGGTTGGCGGTGCTCACTTTTCCTACTCTGGCAGGCCTCTTCCCTCCATGCGCCAAGCTGCTTCTGAAAACCTGCCCTTCTCACAGCCAGTGTTGATGGTTATGCAGATGAACTAGAGAAGCAGCTGCTCCCAAGTCATCAGTAGGGATGGAAGATAAGAGCCGCTTGGGCCCAGGTGGTCAGGGGCTCACAGCAACCTGTCTCCTTGTAATCGGTGATGGTGGTCAGGTTTCAGTTAAAATTTTCCAACGGTCAGTTGTATTCTTTTCATTGTGCTCATGTTTATACATTATTTAGACTGTCCTTAATTAGATGTGTCCAAGATTTAGACCAGATGGTTTGAGGTCTTTTGTTCTTTAGGAAGGCATTACCAAGTTATGTGATCATTATCATGGCTCTTTTTACATTTTCATAAACTTTTCACAGAAAAATCTACATGTGGAGTGAAGGAACAGGACAAAAAGAGAGCCAAAAAGGTTGTCTGATATTTTTTTCTTCTGGAATTTGAGTAATCCAAAGTATGTTAGAATGGACTTTTTTTTTTTTTAATCATTTTAAGACTTTAGATGATGAATGAATGATTGCTAGAAGCATATTTAAGAAACTGATAGCAGCAGTGCCAGATACCTGAGTTACTCATTCAATACCTAAATAAAATTAGTTAAAATAAACTTTAGGTATAAAGGGGTAAGGAGGAAAATATTTTATGATGGTTGTGTCTCCTAATGCTCTGTGACACCTCGTACCTTTGTATTGTGTTCTGTCTGGAATAAACCTCCCAAATTGCTCCCTCACTTCGAGTCCTTGTTGAGATGCCATCCAAGCGAGGCAGCCTTTTCTGACTATGAAATAATGTCGCCTTTCACTGGCTCTCCCCTTCCCACTTTTTTCTTTTACTTTTATCACTACCAGATATGTGCTTAATTTTACTTACTTCCTCTAGTTACAGTGTAAGCTCCATAAGAACACAGGCCTGGTTTTGTTCACTGCTGTGGCCCTGACATGGAGTAAGCCCTCAAATCCTTGAATAAGTATTGAATGAACAAATGAATAGCTTGCTTCTGATAAATGTTAGCTACAGATGTGGATGTCCCCATTTCTGAAATTAAGCTATGTATAAGTAACCTTGAAGGTTCACAAAAACCAGAAGATAGACATGGTAATTTTTACCAGACCTTTGATTTTTTTTTTTAAATTGGCAAAAAACTCCTTATAGTGAAACCAATACAGATGTAAAGTGTTAAAATGCAAAAAGAATGAAATTTTTGTTCAGCCTATGTAGGTATTTTGTTTTAGTCATTTATAAAGAACCTTGTACTATGCCTAACTAGAGTAGAGTAGTTTTTTATTAAGTCCCCAAAGAGGTATATCTTCATTCGTCTTTGCTTTTGGAAAACTTCATTGGACAAGTTTGGGAGCTGCTAGTCTGAATGATACTTTCACGATAGTTTCTGTGCCGTTCATTGTTTTACGTACTTTGCATGTTGGTGACTATTTTGTGACAAATGTTTTTACTGTTCTCATAGAAAAGAGGAATATACTGTAGTTGCATATATTAAATATATGCAAAGTATACTATAAGTATACTTTGTATACCCAAGTAACTCAGGTATCTGGCCACTGCTGCTTTCAGTTTCTTAAATATGCTTCCAGCAATCATTCATTCCTCATTTAAAGTCTTAAAATGATAAATTAAAAAAAAAGTCTACTCTAACATACTTTGGATTATTCAAATTCCAGAAGAAAAATATATCAGACAATATAGTATACTATAAGTATATTATAGTTTTACTTAAACTGAGGCACAAGTTGCTTAAAGCCCCAAAGCTAGTAAGTGGCATTTATATTTATTACCCAGAATGCGCATTCTTAACAGCTGCTGTATTAGTTATATGCTGATGCATAAATAATACTCCAAAACATTTTAGTATTTCACACTGTGTGTGTCCATGTGCACGCATGCTCACATGCATGTGTGTGTACAGGGGAGGGGGACCCAGAAACTGAGGTTGATTTCACTGGGTGATTTTGGCACAGAGCCAAAGAGATGCAGTGAAAATGTCAGCCAGGCTGCAGTCATCTGGAGTTTGATGGGACTGAAAGATCTGTTTCCAAATGTCTTGCTGGCATAGATGGCAGTTTTGTGCTGTCATTTGGCAAGAGCCCTCTGTTCCTTGCCACATGAGTTCTCCACTGGACTGCTCAAGCACTCTCATACAGCAGGGGCTTTTCCCAGAGACCTGAGAGAAAAGGGAAGAAGAGACACTTGTTTCTCAGTACCTTTGGAAGATAAACACTGTCCTTTCCACCATATCCCATTGGTCATGCCAGTCAGTCCTGTTTGGTAGTAGAGGCAAAGGTTGCTGGGACCAAACAGCATAATTCAACCCTGTTGTTAATATTTTAAAGTGTGAACAAAAATTCTGTAGGACAGGTACTATTATCTTCACTTTACAAGTGAAACTTACATCATTCTGTCTCTCAAATGTGTTATATTATGCTACTCAGAATACAAGTTACTTAGGTACAAGTGATTTTCAAGAAAATAAACATTAAATCATGTTGACTTTAATGACATCTTTCTTTTCTAGCAGGCCTGCTGCCAATGCAGCAACAAGGATTTCCTATGGTCTCTGTCATGCAGCCTAATATGCAAGGCATGATGGGAATGAATTACAGCTCTCAAATGTCCCAAGGACCTATTGCTATGCAGGTACTTACCTCTTTTGCCGATAATTTACAAAGATGTAATGTTTGTTAATTGTCTACATTTTAAGAACACACATTAGGAGCTTCATGTTATTTTTAAGATTTTTTAGTTATGCAGGCAAGAATTGGGGTGTAGCCAGAGGTACAGGGAGTAAGGGGATTCACCAGAGACAGAGTGGGGAGCACAACAAGTGGATCTACTAATATACACTGCTGAGGGGAGCAGTAGGTGAAGCAGGAGAAGTGTGCTGTATGTATCATGTGGGTCAGCTGCATGGCTGGGGATCAAACTCATGCTGCAGTGGCTGCAAACATCTTCATAGTGCTGCTCTTTAACCCCTTGCACCAACAGGGAGAGCCTATGATTTCAACTTTTAAACCAAGAAAATTTTCAGAGGAGACTGAAGAAGAGTAGCCACAGAAGAAAGAGAGAAAATTAAAGAACAGAGAAAGGATTTTGGTTTCACGCAAATCTGAGTTCAGTCCCAGCTTTGTCACTTACCTGTAGAATAGGATGGGATAATGTCTTGCCAGTGTGTTTGTAGAAATGGTTGAATGAAAAATTTAAACCATTTGGTATTGTATCTAGCACTAGGTGAGCAGGGAGAGACAAATGCTCACTTTTTATATTAAAGTTAAAATCAGGAATGATCTTTAAAGAGGCATGACATTATTTTGTGTTCTGTCTTTAATATTCATCTGACTCTTAGTGTTTCCTTACTCACAGCTCCCATTCTAGCTACAAAACACTTTCCTGAATAATAATAATAACCATAGTAATAATAACCACCAGTAGTTCTTTACATGCGCTATATTCATTGTACACATTGTGTCATTAATGACTATATAGAAATTCTGCAAGACAGGTAATATTTGGGAATCTGTGGTCTATTCAAGGTTATCAATTTATTTCAGAGTAGAGGCTTACGCCAAAACGATCTTATATTCAGAGCTTGAATTGCTTCCCAAATAGCAGTTATTTGAGTGTAACCTTCTTGATTTTTGCTGTGTGTTAACATTTTTGTTTTTAACCAGTTCTAAAGAGAATCATTATATTTTAAAGTAAATAGAAAATCTTATTTTGTTATAAATGCAGGGTAACCAAAAAAATAAGATGAATCAAAATTACATATTGAAGTTTATAAACCTTCTCTTTATTGAAAAAAGAAGAAATGTATACAATTTACCTGCAAATGATTCAGCAAAAAAAAAAAAAAAGTGGGGCCTCCCAGGTGGTGCAGGGGCTATTGTCTCAGCACTATCAATCTATTGCCAGCCTCTGCTGCACAAATTTAGTCCTGAGCCGGGGAGCTACCCACATGGCACAGCAGACCTTTCCTGTCCAGCTCACTGCTCCCCTCAGCAGTGTATTTCAACCCACCTGTTCTGCACCCCGCTCTGTCTTTGGTGAATACTCTTGCCCCTGATACCTCTGGCCTGTACCCGAGTTCGTGCATGCATAATAAATAAATCTTGGGATGCATAAATAACATTGTATTAGTATTCTCATATTCTTTGGGTATATACCTACAGGTAGTATTGTTGGATCAAATGGTTACTTGCATTTTTAGTTTTTTTTGAGACCTCTCCATACCATTTTCTGTAGAATTTAGGTTTGACACAATATTTACAGCATTCGAATGACTTTTTTAGAAAATAAAGTAGTTATAAAATCTTATGGAACCACAAGACTCCAAAGCAGCAAAAATAGCTCTCCAAAAAGAAAGGAGAAAAACTGAGTTATCACACTCCCTGACTTCAAACTATATAGCAAAGTGATGGTATCAGAACAGTAAGATAGGGCATTATGCTGTAACTCAGGCAAAACTAACTCAAGGGGTAATTCCTGATGTAAGGTCAGATGCAGGAGAAAACAAAGAACAAAAAGAGTTACATGTGTGGACAAATCTAAATGAATACTGTATAAAATAACAGTGTCTTTATATTGTTTTTTAATATTCAAAAAGTTAAAATACATATAATAGTAATGTAGAACTTGGAGGAATCTGCATTCTGTGAAAAATAAAGATTTTGTTAACATTAGCTTTTGATGAGTTAATACATTTTGTAATTTCAGGGACAATCTTAGTAGGACATATATATCCTTTGTAACAGATAGAGGTGAAAAAATAAGATGGGAGGGAGAAAAAGAGGGGGCCAAGAAGGAAAGAAAATGAAATGTAGAGAAGATGGACCAAGTCATAAATATAAGGTAGTTTTAAATACAAATATATTAATAATTAAATGTTAATGGCTTAAGAATCCTTTTAAGAATTTTAGGTACTTGATGCTTATAAGAAGCACTTTTAAAACATAAGGATACAGAACATTTTAAAGTAAAGGAATAAAAAGAAATACTAAACAACCAAATGAAAAATATTATGTAGCTAAAGGAAAATTAGACAAAATATTCTTTTTTTTTATTTTT